TAAATAAATAAAAAATTAAAAAAAAATTTCCCTGAAACTTCTAATATTTAGAGAAATAAATTTAGGACTCAGAAAGCTGTTCACTATATATTTTGGATTGTATTTTTAAAGTACCCTTTCTGAAAATACACTGCCTTAAATTTTTAGATCTCCTTTATCTCACTACTCAAACATTTCATTAATGATCTAATCTCTATCACTTCTCTACTTTATGGATTTCAGGCTTAAATTTTTCATCTATAAAAAGAATTCCCTATTTAAAGATGTTGCTTTTATCCTAAATCTCAAGTCAGCATTTCTTTTATACAGTTATTATTCTATTATCTGTAGTCTTTCTTCAAAAAAAACTTAGTATTTACCTATTTTCTTTCCAATATTTTTAGTGAAACTATTCTAGAAGAATAAGATGGAACAATCGAAGAAAACAACATGTCAAATTAAAAAGAATATAAGAGTAGCAGAAATGGTATTATTAACAGCCAAGAAATAAACACAGTGAAATGTTATTTGAGCCATTAATTGATAATGTATTTTGTAATACATTATCATTATAATATTGTTTAATGCTTAGGTCTTTCTTAAGTACTTAAGTGAAAGCTGAAAAATAAATTATGGGGGAAGGAGGAAATTCTATTAAAAAGTAAAAAAGATCAACAACTTTCCATTAACCTTTAGTATTGTAAATTGTCTTCAGTAACTCAGGGCCACAAACTATATAACTACAAATATCATCCAATAATGTTAGCAGAACTGCACTATTTTTATTTTTTTAAAAGCCTTTTCAATAACATTAATCAAAATCATGTATTTCCAGTATTGCCTCTCCTTCACCCCTCCATATCCTGCCATAGCCCAAAGCAAAATATCTTCTGTAAGTGTGTCCTCTGAGCACATAGTTTCTTCTTTTTTTTTAAAATATTTTTAAATTTTATTTATTTATGTGTGTGTGTGTGTGTGTGTGTGTGTGGCCAGCTCAGCCCACCAGGGGGCAGGGCTGGCTGGCACATGGTGCTGGGGGATTGAACCACGGTCCCTGTGCTTTGCTAAGCTTGTTCTAAGTAGGTGCTTTAGACCACTGAGCCATCTCACCAGCCCCATAGTTTCTTCTTGACATCTTCAGTAGTTACACTAAACTTTATTAGATAAAATACTGAATTTTATTTTTAACCATGATTTTTTATTTTTATTTTAATTAATTAATTATTTTTTTGCGGTACTGGGGATTGAACTCAGGACCTTGTGCTTGCCAGGCAAGCACTTATTCTACTGAACTATCTCCCTGGGCCCTATAACCATGATTTTTTAAAGCAATAAATATTATAATAAAGCACCTATACACAAAGTTTAGAGAGAAAAATTAGTCATCTAATTGCCTATAAAAAGCTCCCATGTCTTTACACAGCTATTTTTCAATAAACAAAGTTTTAAAAAAGGTGTCTGTCGGGCGCGGGCGCCCTGCTCCTCAGCCTTGCCCCTCCCGCTGGAGCTTCTGCTAGGAGTCTTGTTTCCTGTATAGCCCTGGTCCCTGCTGGCAAGATTTGATTGGTTCGTACAGCCCTGCGAGGCAACTGGCTGTTGGCCTATTGCCTGTGTCGGACGATATACTTGGCTCCCTCTGATAGGTCCGGGGGGGGGGGGATATAAGAAGGGGGGTTAGGAGAGAAAGGAGGAGGAAGGCCAGAGAATAAAGAAGTCTAAAGACAAAGAAGGAGTCCCCGTCTTGTCTTTTCTCAGCGCCGGTCAGGTGTCTATAAATTATTGTCAAGATTATAAAAACAACTGAATGTTAAATAGCACCATACAGGCAAACAAAATTTGGCTTCCACTGGGAATGAAAGTTGGAAAGCTGAGATCAACAAGGATCATTTATGCAAATTCTTGCTGCTTAATTTGTCAAAAGACTACCCTAAAAATTATTATAGAACCATGCAGAACAAGTAAAATACAGGTAAATCATATTACTTCATTTATTACTATGTTAGTTACTGTAATTCAAGTATTTTATAATTAGGAAGTTTAAACAAAATGAAAGTTTAGAAATAAGGGATACTACTTACAAGCTGCTCTGATTTTACACCATATAACTGGATGGTCTTTGCCACATTTTTTGACACAGCTAATGTGAGGTTTGCATCAACAGCAGCTATATTTAGTTCACTAGGGAAAACAAGCAGATTGTAATCATTATCAATACAGTTTGACATCAAAACAAAAAGCAATATATAAACCTAAATTCAGTATGTGATGTGGTGATTCTTTTTATGGATATGCTGACTGCTTCATGATCTGGCTGCACTGTTTCATTTCTCTTCCTAAATTCAGCATTAGGAAATAGTGCTTTGAGATGGCTTTGTTAATGACCAGTTTCTCATTTATAAGAGCACATCATGTGTGGGATCAGTCTGTGATTAAGCGAGTAAACTGTGTGCAGATTTTTGAAGTAGCACACTTGTTAATACTGGTAAGTGCAATTAGAGGCATTGCATATCATAGACATCTGCAAGGAAATGACAGCTCTTGAATGGAAATGATGACCCTGGAGGGACATATGCTAAAAATATAAATTACACATGGTACATAAAGATACTCAATTTCTGTAGAAATTATGCCAATTTATGGTATTTTGCATAAAGTAGTTTTTTAAATGTATCAAAAACATAATGTCAGGGCCAGCCTGATAGCTGAGCGGACTAAAGCAGCTGCTTAGGCAGAGCACAGCGGCCAGGGTTTGATCCCCATTCTGCCATGCCAGCCTTGCCCCCGGTGCTCGCTCAGATGATGGCTGAGACTAGGTGTGGTGATGCACACCTGTAATCCCAGCACTTGGGAGGCTGAAAACAGGAGGATCATCATGAGTCTGATCTGTGTAGTGAGACCCTGTGCAATAATTTTAAACCTTAGAAATGTGAATTCTTAAAAGCATTTTTTTTTTGCTGTTTTATGTTTAATACTTAATTACTTGGATTATTTGATTTGCCTATCACCAAAAAAAAAAAAAGTCATTGTAATAATGACCAAAGGTACTAGGAGCTAAAAAGTGCATGTACACATAGCTCATGTATAGGTGGTAAGCAAGAAAAAGAAACTATTATCTCTGAAGCAGACTAAAGTTCACACCTAGTCAGGTTATCTTTTTAAAGAAAGCAAAGAGGTTTCAAAGTGTAACACTAGTGCTGCACACCATATTTTTTAAAAAATACCCTCTCACGTGGAACTGACATTAATTTTATTAATTTTTTTTAATTGTATTAAATTAAATTGTATTCTTTAAGCTCCAGATTATATCTGACTGCAGCACTGCCAGGCTGCATAGAGGAATGGGAGAACATCACTTTACCATTTACATAAAGAGGTCAAAGGGCTTGAATTGATTCTAGGCTAATTTTTATCCCTACCCCACTAAACAGGTGACAGACATGAGGGTAAAAATCTGGAGTAAAGTTAACTGGGGAGAGCTGTGGGACCAAGATGGTAGACAATCTAGATAATTTATAGGTGTTCACATCTGAAGAGGAGGCTTATATATATTATACTTGTGGCCTTAAAAAAATATTGTCTTTTCCAGAAATCAGAATCACTATCTCCGAATTTGTAATCTAAAAGAATTACAGTTCTATACGTTGGTTCTATATTGCCCAACCATTATTTTTATTCTGCTAAATGTCCAGCTCAAATGTACAAACTTACTAATATGACAACAATGGTTAGGTATGACAGGACTGAGATAGTCTCAGTTGCAAGCGAAGGTGGGTGACTGTTAACACATCTAAAGGCAGCAGGACAATTATATTGTCTGCAATCACTCAGGTGGCACCTCTGTAGGACACCTTCCCTTTTGAGAGTTTAAAAAGCTCCCACATTCACTTAGGAAGCTTAAAATAGCAAACACAAATAGGCTAATCAGGATTAGAATCTTGTTGCTGCCATCAAACACACTTTGTGTTAAGATAAAGAATATTAAGTTCTATGTTTGAGTTTCTTAATTTGTATTAATTATCTTCACACTTATTTTTCTGTGTAATTTAGGAATGTACTATGGTATGAAAGGGTAGGCTTTGCATCTTTGTAAGACATGGAATAATAAGTCTATTTTTAGACTATCTTTGAATGGTTTTATTAACTGGAATCTCAAGTACTTACAATGTGTGCACTAATTTACTGCAAAACTCTTGACTTAATTGCAGGCCTAATTACTTGAATAATTTGAGGTAAATTTAAAATGCATTGCTATCAGATATCACTAATAGATGTGGAGGCATTTTATTATAGCATATCCTCATGCAAAAATACATACCTTGCTATAGTTTTCATGATTCCATCAAGTTCATCAGGAGAAGGAGGGTTACGCCCACCAGGGGGGAAAACCAAGTTGATAGGATCAAAGAGGCGAGATAAGGACTTGGAGAGATAAGCAGCCTCATAAGGTTGCAGTGAGTCTTTCAAAGCTTTTTCTGGACTGTAGAAACAAGATTTTAAAAAAATAACAAGTTATATAAAACTAACTGGTAGTGCATCAGGCAAAAAATACCTTTTGCAAAAATGTCTCTACTATAAAAAATGTAACTATATAAACAAAAAGAAAATAATTTGTTTTAAAATGTATATACAAATTCATTTCATAAACATTTATTAAAGATCACATATACATTTTCATTTACACTTTTATACATAAGTCCTAGCAATAAATGTAACAAAACATATATGAGAATATATTATCTGTCACTTGAAAGCAAGAGAATATGTAAGAGCCCACCAATCCTACTGAGAGCTATTCCTTAGCATAAGCAATGTGGAAAACACGTGCGTGAGGCAAGCCTGCCGCCACCTGCTGCACTCCTCAGCCCTCTCCCCCCAGCTGCTGTCTTCCATGAAGCTCAGTGACAGATAGGGAAGGGCACTGAACCAGGTTGTGACGATTTTTCCTTTTGTGTTAGTACGAATAAGAATGAGGGCAAATATAAAAGGGTTTTATTAAACTCTTATCACATAAATACACTTGATTGGAGTCCGAATTTATTTTGTAATATTCTTCATAAAATAAAACTTAATTCTTTCTCCCTTGTTTTCAACAGTTCCTCTAGATTCTCACTTAGCAGTCAAATGATTGGATCTTATAATTTTCGTTTGACAATTACTATTGAATGTCTATAATCATCATTTCTATTTGCTTCTTTGCTGTTATAATGTCATACTTTTTCACATCTTCTGTTTGTAGTCCTTCTTCCAGTATTTCATTGTCCTTTTTTTTTTTTTTAAAGAACAAATTTACCTTCATCTCAAACGTTAACCTTAACAACATCTGCCTTGCTCTCCATACATACGAAACCTGGCTTTCTGTTTCTCTCACCCTTCTGGTCAACTGACAAGCCCAGAGGTCAGAAGGCTCTTGGCTCCTACTTTATAATTCCACAGTTATCTCTAATACTTTCTAATTCATGAACTATTCCACTCAACAGCTGTTTGCTGAAAATGCAATGCACCAGGCACTTAGGCAAATGCTAGGAAGACACAGATTAAGAGTGCTATATAATCTAGTAAGTGAAATGATCAAGTCAATTGCAAATTATATAATTTTTGTAATAGATGAAAATACAAAGACCACATGTAGCAGAGAAAAACTAGTATCTAAACCTGTCTTAGGTGATCCTGGAACTAAAGTCCATGCAATTTATATAAATGACTTTTTTCTGTGTATACTCCTGTCATCTACTAACTTTATGAAGCCTGAACATGAGTTACTAACATTCTTTTTATTCCTCAAATGGGTTGCAAAAACCCTTGGTCTATAATATCAAATATACATTTTTTCTAAAATCTGTCCTGTACAGGAAGTTTATATTTATTATAATGACTTTTTATTTTAACCTCGACCATGGAGCTTTCAAATTTGAGTCATCATTTTGAACTGTTCTACCTCCAAGATCTCCAAATTCAAAGGCAAATTTCCATATGCTTGATCTTCTATCTCCTTTCTTCCCACAAATATTATCAAGTCTCTATAATCTGCCAAGTAATTTCCTAGGTGCAGGAAAATCAGTGTGATCTCAGTTTTAAAAAGTTCCCTAGCCTTTTAAAGTTTACAAGCTAACAAATGATACAAAACATAAATTTAATGAGTTCAACATAGAATATGATATTGATAAGTGTTAAAAGAAAAATAAAGTGGGCCGGCCAAATAGCTCAGGGGATTAAAGCACCTGCAAGCAGGCTCAGGGGCTGGGGTTCAATCCCTGGTGCCTGCTGAGACAGCAATTGAGACTGGGCATGGTAGTACACGCCTGTAATCCCAGCTCTTGGGAGGCTGTAAACAGGAGAATCACTAGGAGTCCGATCTAATAGTGAGATCCTGAACACCCTACAGATCCTTTATCACCACCCCCCACCCAAAAAAGAAAGAAAAATAAAGTAATGAAGATAGTATATAGGTTTAAGCTGCTTTTTAAGTCCAAATTTTAGGAAGGATGTGACATGAAGGCTTACTTAAGCCCTAAAGGAAAAGAGGTAATAATGCACAAGAATAAATGATTATGTTACTGGTTTACTGCTTCCATTGTTTTAGAATGTATTTCTTCTACTTGTAAAACCTAATGTTTACTGTAAAGCAGCATGCTGTGCTACACCAGTGGCAGCCTCTATATCTGTGTGTGACCCTACCTCTTGATTAGATTAAGAGGAATCATAGTATGGTTTATCCACACTAGGCTTCTGTAATTATACCCTGTAATGTTCACACAATGGCAAAAATCTCTTAATGACCCAGTCTCTGAATGACCCATTGTAGTTTATATTCTGAACTGTAACTCACATCAAATTATCTTTTCAGTAACCCCATTTGTATTTTCAAGTCACCAGTTTCAAAAGAAAAACTTAAATTCAACACAATGCCTTAAAAAAAAAAACTTCCAGTCTTAACAGTCTTCTACCAACTTGTCTAGTCATACCCTTGATTCATTCTTCTCAGACACAACCTATCAGACAGTTCCACTGGCTTATCTCTAAAATACATCTTGATTTAGAATACAACTTGACTTAATCTAACCAGTTCTTACTATTTTATCTGCTCACCCTAGTTAAGTCATTATCATCTGATGTCTAGAGAAACAAAATATCCTCCTGGATGCTGATTCCCACAGAGAAAGCAAGTTGCTTAATCTAAAGTGTTTATTATCCCTCTTTACTTTTATTTTTTATTTTTTTAATTTATTTGTGTGTGTGTGGCCAGCTCAGCCCACCAGGGGGCAGGGCTGGCTGGCATGTGGTGCTGGGGGATTGAACCGCCGTCCCTGTGCTTTGCTAAGCTTGTTCTAAGTAGGTGCTTTAGACCACTGAGCCATCTCACCAGCCCCTATTATCCCTCTTTAAAAAAAAAAAAAAAAAAAGATTACAAATTCTATCAGAACATGTCCCAAACCCCTTCCCATGGCCTCTAAGACTGTACATATTCTCACATTTCCCTTCGTCTCTACCCAACATTACATACACAACCTTCTTTTCTTTTACTGGGTTCCAGCCTCATTGGCTTCTACTCATCAAACTTCTCATCTTAATTTGCTCAAGGTCTCTAAATGTGCTCATTTGCCTATAGTAATCTGTACCAAATCTCTCATGGTCGACCTAGTCATGTTAGCTAGCTTTTAGGTCAAACATCACCTTCTCTGAAAAGATCTTCTCTGACCATTTATTTCATTTTCTTTACACCAATTACCATTACTGAAACTTTAGTGTGAATACTAAAGATATTCAGTACTTGCTAACCTGGTTACTTGTGCTTTGATCCTACTGATTCCTCTCTAGGATCTCAATCCATCCATTATCTCTTCTCTTTCTTGCATTTCTCATCTCTTTTTCTTTCTACTGGTGAGTCATAGCTACAATACTCTCAATTTTCCCTGTATCATTAAAAGCAAAGAAACTTTCCTTAGACTCAGGTAATCTGGATCAAATCCATGTTTTTTCTCTACTATACTTTTCTTGGCACTTATCAGGGATTGAACTCTGGACCTTGTGTTTGACAGGCAGACACTTATGCCTGCTGAGCTATATCCCCAGTCCTTCTATCTTAACTTTTCAAAAGACAATCTTAAATCTATTCTGTTGGTTTCTTGTTACTTTTTTTTTCAATCTTCATAGAATATGGGTCTTGTTTCATCAACATTTTCCTGACTTCAGCTTCCACAAGGTGATAATTATGTCTCATTAGTCTAAACATTGGCTTCTACTCCACTCTGGTCCTCTCCCCCACTGAATTTACCACCTCTCTTTTTCATAAAAGTTATGAAAGAAAAAGTAACATGTATTCATTTTAAAAGAAAAAATACAGATAATTATCTCCTGGAGATAAACTATTGTTACCATTTGTTTTGTATATTTCCATATTTTCAGTGCTTGATGAGAGGATTAAAAATAAAACTTAGAAATACATTGCTACTCTATATACTATTTTATGTAATCTCCTTAAATTTATAAACAGTAGCAATTCTTCATAGATTAATAGATGTACTTTTTAATTTTTTTAGTGGAACTGGGGATTGAACTCAGGCCCTTGCGCTTGCCAGGGAAGCACTTATTCCACTGAGCCATCTCCCGGGCTCCTAGATGTACATTTTGTTCTTTTGTCTCCATTTTCATTAGTTTTAAATTAATCATGTATTTACCATAAAGTAATTACTGAGGAGACAATATGGTTTCATTCTATCTTTCCAGCCTAGTCTGGTCATTTAATTGACTAGTCAAAATTTCTAATTATGGAGCATACAAATTTAACTGTATGTACTTAGGGAAAAAAATTAAGAAAAACAATTACTTAACATCACTCATGAATCTATACAACATTCTTCTTACAAGGGAAGTGATAAGAATCTGCTACAGTTTTAATCAGTCTTTGTACTATAAATATGAGTCTTGTGTTTAAAGAAAGGTGTAAAAGACAATCTATCGGGCACTCAAACAAGTTTAAAAATACTCTTTCAAGTATGGAATACTGGTTTCCAGTGTGGCTTCTAAATATGGCTACATTATAATGCTCTGTGTGTGATCTGAGGAATTTTCTAGGATAGTTTTGATTACACAGTTTTTTTCCTAACACACTGAACACCTATCTCAGGATGATTTATCTCCTCTGTAGCTTCTGAACAAAGAAGAACCTTTGAAGTCACTTATGTAAATGGCCTATAAATATTGATGCTATCTGATGTAATTATGCAGGTCAGTAAATATGAATTAAAAGACAATGAACACATACGTTTATGTCCTAGCTTCAAATTATCCCATTTAGCATTATATGCTAACAGTGACTCTAGCAGGAGCCAGAATATATACCTTAGGGTGAAATCTGACTTTTAATTAAGTCTTACAAAGTCTCTTAAAGAATGTAAGTTTTAAAAACTATTATGAAAAAACAACTATTATGAATATTTGCATATGTAATGTATTCCCACTTTCTAATTTATAATACAAATTTTTTAAATGCCTTAACTTTACAACGAACAAATCAAATTAAACAAACGTACTCATAATCCAGCTTTCTTGGTATGAATATATCTTGTTTATCATCTTCCATGTTTTGTACATCAGCATAGAGGTCTGTACTTCCAGTTGCATTAAAATTTCCTTGGATATTTTGATTATACTGTTGGAGACGCTTCCATAAATCATTGTAAAGGCGTAATAATTTAGGATATTCTCCTTCAAAAGCCTGTTTCAAAAACATAGATGCTGCCAACCAAAATTAATAACATTGGTTATATAAAAGATAAAGCAATAAAATATAGAAAAATGTTTCTTTTACGTACAAAAATGATGTCACAAATAGATTAACAGTACAGCACAAATGAAAGACACATTCCAATGATTTTTTTTAAGAATAATGCTACATAACACTATGTTTCCAATTACATAATTTGTTTGTATGAAAAGACGTACAATTACTGTTGAAGATTTCAATTTCCCCTCTTGATAACTGATAAAGGCAATACACAGAAAATTAGGATATATAAAACTGAGATTTCAATTTCCCCCCTCAACAACTGATAAAAGTGGAACACAGAAAATATATATACAAAATTAACCAAAACTAACACCCAACGGACTTAATTTACAAGTATACAATACTTCATTCAAAGTAACAAAAAAACACATTCTCTTCAAGTTTATGTGGAATATTTTTTAAGATCAACAATGCTTGAACATCAAGTCCTACATAGTATATCCTCTTTAAGTAATTAGATTTTTGTGTTTTCTGGTTTTTGTTTTTTCTCCGATAGAGGGTCTCACTACGGAGTTCAGACTCATAGTGATCCTCCTGTTTTCAACCTCCCCAGGGCTGGGATTAGAGGCAAACGCCACCATACCAGATCTTGGGCCAGTGTACATGTGGTACAGAAAATCAAATCCTGGTCCCTGCGTTTGCCTAAGCAGGTGTGTAGACCTCCGCTATGTTGCCAGCTCTTTTTTGTTCTTTTTGACACAGGGTTTCACTAAACAGTTTAGGCTGGCCTTTAGTTTTCTTTGTAGCCCAAACTAACTTTGAACTTGGAATGATCCTCCTGTCTGATCCTCCAGAGTGCTGGGATTAGAGGAGTAAATCACTTTTTAAATTAGAAACAGGTAACAAAAAGACACCTGAAAAACCTTCAAATATTTTTAATTTAACAAAATGCTTCTAAGTAAGTCGTGTATCAAAAAAGGAAGCCAAAAGGGAAATGAAAAGTATTTTGTACTGAATGAAAATTATAGTACTACACGAAAAATTTGTGGAATGTCATTAAAGGAATACATGAGGCAATAGTGAAAAAGAAAGTTTTCAAATTAATGACCTAAATTTTCATTTCAAGGACCCAGAAAAAGAGACAAAAAAAAAAAAAAAAAAAAAAAAAAAAAAAAATCCCCTAAAGAATACAGAAGAAAACAACAAATATCATAGGCTATCAATGAAAGAGAAACAGAAAAAATACACTGGTTTGGAACCAGTGGAACCAAAAACTTACTCTCTGAAAAGATGAGTAACTCTGATAAACTTCTAGCATAATGGATTACAAACAAAGAAGAAAAATTAACCATGTGAGAGATAATAACCTTAATGCATATCTTTTATATACTAAATAAAAATAAATTATGATTTTATGACTATAAATTTGAAATTTTTCATTAAATGTTCAAATACCTTGAGGAACAGAAACTATGAAAATACACCCAAAAACAAACTGAATGGTCTCTATTTACTGAATTTTTTCAGCTAAAATTCTTTCAAACAGTAACTATGCCCAGCTGACTTCAGAGGCAAATTCTATCAAATAATTTAAGGAAGAAATAGTAATGTCAATTCTATACCAAGTCCCAACTCATTGCTGAGGCCAACATTATCCTGGTACCAACACCAGACATTAAAAGAAAAAACAAAGACAACAAATACTACAGAATAGTATATCTCACAAATATGGATTAAAAAAATTATGCATCTAATTTCAATAAAGGATGATACTGTGTGACCAAGAAGATCTCCCCCCAAGAACTTATAGTTGGTTCAACATTTTAAAATTAGTCAATGTGGATGCCATGCTGGCCCTGCGTCTGGGGCGTGCTGAGATGACGACTGAGACTGAGCATGTTGGCGTGCACTGTAATCCTAGTGCTTGGGAGGCTGAAAACAGAAGGATCACTACAAGTCTGATCTATGTAGTAAAACTCTGTAGACACTGTACTAAATACATAAAAATAAAATAAAATAGGGGACGGGGAGATGGCTCAGTGGAATAAGTGCTTCCCTGGCAAGTGCAAGCGCAAGGGCCTGAATTCAATCCCTGGTTCCATCAGAAAATAAAAAAATAAAATAAAATAAAAATATAAGATAAGTCAATGTGGTTAATTATACTAACAAGTGAATAAAAATCATTCCGTCATTTCAATAGATGAAAAAAAACCTATTTGAAACATTCTAATATTCATTCTTGTAAAACTTCTTCATAGAAAAAATAGGAATATATGCTGATAAAAGAATCAATATAGGGCTGAGGAGATAGCTCAGAGGTTGAGACAGGAGCATCACTAGAGTCTGTGCTGCATAGCAAGACCCTGTATTAAAAAAAAAAAAAGAAAAAGAAAGAAAGAAAAGAATCTACATAAAACCAGATTAGGAAAGCACTGACTTAAGAGCCACTATGATCATCTATTAGGAAGCCTAATGTGATCTACCAACAAAGTTAACTGAGACAGTAAGTGGATTTAGCAAAATTGTGGGATACTAGATCAAACATAAATATAAATATATATCTGAAATGACCAGAAATTGAAATACAAAAAGGATACACTCAGCAATGTACTTGAAAATAAGAAAGGGGCTTCATTAAGTTTCTGTGTTTTTTGCTATTCTTCCCTACTTACAGCAGACACACAAGATATGGAATCTTATACCAGATAAGTGTACATTCTGTATCACAAACCTGTCTTTCCTTTTCAAAGTTGGGATATATAGAATAAAGCCTTTCCCAACCTTCTAACTTTCTAACCATTGGCACACTTATAATATGAAGATGATCACCTTCCATCTCTTGGAGAAAATAAAAGCTGCACGAAAAGAACCCCTTTAACATTTTACTCCTCTCATCCAAGTTATCAGTTGTTTTAGTAGCCAATGTGCCTGACAGGAGCAAGTGCCCATTTGGTACAAAAAAACCCCTTCAACTTTTGGTGTGATCCTATTTCATTTCATCTCTAAGACTTTCATTATATCTCCTTTGTATTTTAGCTTTCTACTAGTTCCCTTCCAGGATCAATAAAACATTCTGTTGCACAACACGAAAAACCAAAACTACAAAGAAAGTGGCAACACATTTCCCTTGACCCTGTAACTGTCCACTGATAGCCACTGTTCTGTTACGTGTAATAATAGCCTATACACATTTTTCTTCTGCCTGACTGCAACCAGACTTCCAAATGAAACAGTGCCAAAGGAACTATTTTAGTCAAAGTCACAAAATCATCGTAACTGCCAAAAACAGTGGGTACTTTCTGATCTCCTTTTACCTAATCTGTTGATGACTCTGAGAAAGTCTCTTAATGACCCCATTTTCTCTTCAGTTTTTTCACTTCTCTCAATCCCTCTCCCCTCTTTATGAGGTCTTGCTATATTGCCCAAGCTCCTGTCAAACTCATCATCCCACCCAAGCTTCCCCAGCAGTATAGATTACTGGCACAAGTCACCCTGCTGAGGTTCAAATTTGTTCTTCTTATTCTTTTGTGCTGACTTCCTTCCTCTGCTTGAACTACTCTCCTTGAAATTTGGAAACAATGGTTTCAAATATATAAAACAGAATAGTATAATTAATCTCTATGTATCTGTCATAGAACTTCAACAATTACCATTCAATCCTGTTTTTTTCTGTATCTCTAGCCATTCCTTCCCATTACTATCAATTATTTTGCAAACATCAGATATTTCATTCATATGTTCATCATGTACCTCTAATAGCTGGGCCTATTTTCTTGTAAAATTATACCATAGTTCTTTTGTAACACTCTACTAAATTAACAATCAGTGACCACATTTGCTTAGGACCTCTGCAATGAATTTAGGACTCACAGTTCTAAATTTTATATAGTCCATATATAAAAATTAATTGATATTACACCAAACCTAATCCATACTTTCCCTCTCTATTGCTTTTAATTCTTTAAGAAACTAGGTCATTTGTCTTATAGTGTTTCCCAGACTCTGTATTTTGCTGATTGTACCCTCTTGTTCCTCTATTTCCTGTAAATTATCAGTTGGATCTAAAACAGTGCCTTTCAACTTTGGCTGCACACTGACACAACCAGTGAACACTAAGAAATCCCAATGTTTGCACTATGCTCTGAGAGATTATAATGTAATTATAGCCCACACTTTGGAATTTCTCAATACTAAGTGATTTTCTAAAGTGCAACCAATTAGAAAACAATTTATATAGGTCACAATTTGATCAAATCCTAGGGGGGGGTGTAAGCTATATCCCAAGCCAATTTTTAATTTTAAGACAGTGTCTCACTAAGTTGCTCAGGCTGGGCTTGAACTCATTATCTTCCTGCTTCAGCCTTCTGGAGTGCTAGAACTACAGACATGTGCTACAATACCTAGGAAATTATAGGCTGTATACCTTCAGACATGGCTGCTACATATGTAATGTCTAAATTTGTGCACTGCTTGCTTTTTTACTGCATTTGCAGCTATTAATAATCATTGTCTACATTTATTATCAGTGATTATAAAACTCAGATAGTCTTAGAGCAAGTAAGATAGCTCAGTGGAGTAAGTGCCTGCTTAGGTGAGCTCAGTGACTGGGATTTGATCCCTGGCACCACATGCCATGCCAGCCCCACCACTGGGCATGCTGAGCCAGCCACAGAGACCTTGCACGGTGGCAAACACCTGTAATCCCAGTTCTGGGGAGACTGCAAACAGGAGGATCAATAGGAGTTTAAGCTGCATAGTGAGACCCTGTACCAGATACATTAAAAAATTAAGATAGTCTTTTTTTTTGGGGGGGGGGTGGAACTGGGGATTGAACTCAGGCCCTTGTGCTATCTCCCCAACCCCAAATGGTAGGTTGTTTTTTTTCAGTACTGAGGATTGAACTCAGGACCCTGCACTTGCCAGGCAAGCACTTCTACTGAGCTATCTCCCTGGCCCCTTAAGATAGTCTTAACGTTCCTTCTGCATGTGTTAGAGACAAAACTTTATA